CCAATCGATAAGAAATAACTGGTACCGAAGCACATTTTCGCATCGGACAATGTTGTTAACTGATCGCATGAACAAATATCAGCAGCAGCATCTTCAACAGTAGAAGGTGGAGCCTTTTGGCTCGGATCGAACAATCAGCCCTTTTTTTTCCTTGATTTGTTTTCCGTCGATCTTGTTTTCCGTGATAAGCACCAATGCTACCGACGCCAGGGATGCAGCTCCCACCCACGCCTGAACCCTACCTATCGACCCATCAACTCATGAACCGGGGACCAACGGCTTTACTTCCCTTCCGACGGAAGGCGTGATCAGAGATGTTATACCTCATAACTGACCCCACGCCTGCTGGGGTGAGAGATAATCACGCTTGAGATAATCACGCTTACCACTACACCACCAGCGCCGCTATGCCATTATAGTGCAGTTGTTTGGATGTAATATTCAACAATTTCACTCAAATTAACTGAAAATCAAGGCAACCTGAAATGATAAACCAAGTAGGGGCTGTTCATTAACTACGTAGACAATTTTTTTTTTGGATTCTGGACCCTCCCCCTGCGTAGACAATTGTCCATACAAATGTTTTTAAATTTGTATGGGCCGTGGATAATTTGGATGTTTTGGAGATATTTGAAATTCTGAAAAACACATTTTTCCCATTTAAGACATTTCATGTTTTGTGACATGTTGAAATGGAGAAAGACTTCCGAAGACTTTTTGAATTTTAAGTAGACATCTGAAGATTTTTACTATAAAAATGATGATTTTGACTTATGCTTCTTGAACATATACTGTATAATACTTGATCAAACTGAATAACCAGATGACTTTATTGAAATCTTCCATCGCCTGTGGATCTTTTAAATAATTCCTGACCAACCTGCAATCTTGGGAAAATATCTGAGAGCCGCCATTTGAATTATTTAACAATTGAATATCTTTATGTTAATGAAGTCTTGAAAAATTATCCATTGAAAAATGAATATTGAAATCTATGACCAGCTGGTGATCAATTAAATAATGCACACGACAATTTCTGATTAACCAGCAACCTTTGGATGATATCTTCAGGGGCTGCTATGATATACTTTGAATGCGTGGAATGATTTGGTAGTCTTACAAAATAAGCTAACGAACCGATTTCTTCTACCCAACGCTTAGATCCTGGATTAGAATCTTCCTCAGAGATATATGGGTGGATTTTTATTGAAGAATTACATCCTATTTTAAACCTAACTCTACTTACAAAGAAGATATCATCTTTGTACTGAAACTTTTAGCTTGTAGTGTTGTTTTGGTGGTTTTATATGCTGGAGTGTTGGGATGAACTGTTGTGGATAATTGTGTAGGAGAAAAACGCTTCGTTAGCTTATTTTGTAAGGCTGCCGCCATTCCACGCATTTAGATAATATCTGGAGAAGACAGTTGAATTTTGAAAAAAATGGAACTTGGATGCCATAATTATTCATTCCAAGCTCTCTTAATTTGAGCTTTTCTCAGAACATCCATGAACTTCCCTAAACTTCCGGGATGAGACTAAACACTTTCCACGAATTTTCCTAAACATTTGGTCGGAATGAAGTTCCCAAAACATCAAGGAAGTTCATTGAGATTTTTTTTAAATAGGTTCTCTGACAAACTGCTACGATGTTTCCTTAACTGATTCGAATATCAAAGGGGAGTCGGTGGTGCAGTGGTAAGCGTGATTGCATCTCACTCCAAAAGGCCTGGGTTAAATCCTAGTCGGCGCCCCCAAATAAAGCCGTTGGTCCCCGGTTCATGAATTGATGGGTCGATAAGTAGGGCCCAGGTGTGGGAGCTGCCTCTTTGGCGTCGGTAGCATTGGTACTCATTATGGTTTTGTTTCTTTCATGCAACGAGTGAATTTCATAATTTCTTTAACGCATAGCTATCAGCACGAAACGAAAGTGAAAAAGAAGCACGCGTAGAACGAAAGGCTGACAGTGACATTCTCGTCGTTGCTTTGCTCATCCCTTTCAATGAAAGTAACGTCGATTTTCGAGTTGAAACGAAGCCTCATGGCTTTCTATCCCTTTCACCGACACTGCACAGTGGTCCAGAATGCAGACTTAGGTGGAATGATATGTTTTGAGCCTGAAATTTATACTTTAGACTAAAAGTCTCTTGTACAAAGTTGTTCCTTATAGTTAGGCCCTCATTTTTATGACAATGAATTCTAGGGTGGTTCATATTATCATTCAAATCAAAAAAACTGTTTTGTTTGAATAAATTAAGGAATACATTCTTCGACAAAGTTATAGCTGAGCAATCTCTTTTAATCGCATTTTCCAGAATATACGTCATGAAACCTCGGTAGGTGTATTTCATGAAAGACGAAACTATCAAAGTTGAGCGCTTTTTCACTCGTCCGCTTCACCGAAGCCCGAAAGAAAGACAAATGCGACGCGAGAAAGAGAGACAAACGATTGAAATTTTGTCTGTAGACGCCGGCTGCGAAGCTGCTCGATTTCAACAGAAAAGGAAAGCTCTTCGTCGCATAGATTTTGTCGAATGAAGCTGATATTGTGACGCCCAACTAGTTTCTGGCAAAAAATCAGAGCGATTGGTTGAAAACCCGCCCAGAAACAGTGGTCGGTATAACTCAGTGGGTAGCCATTTCTGACAAAGCCTGATCGATTGTCATTTTGTCATTTTGAGATATTGTCGATTTCCTGATCATGACACTATAAAATGTACATTGAGGCCTAATATTGATCGGATAATTGTGGACAAATTGACAAATTGATCGGAGTTTGGAAAACTGATAGTATCGCCTTGACACTGGGACATTCTGAAACCGGACAGCACCAAATATTTCAATAAAATCCGATTGGTAAGTTATTTGAGCAATTCCAGGTCAAATAGAAAAAAAAAATAATAATTGCAAACTCGACTTTCTCCGATTAACATGAAACTTTGCATGTCATGATCAATCATTTACATTTTTTTTCTGAAATTGGGTTATATTGAATCCCTCAAAAACTTCAAAATGGTGTATTCGAGATTTTCCAATCGTATTAACGTCTGAGACAAAGTTGTACGAAAAAAAATTGCCTTTCAAGCATAATATACAAGGTAATCAACTTCAAGAAATTCAGGGATCTTCAATATTTTTGACGCTGCCTTTTTTGTTTGGCTGTTTGGCCTGGAAATTCTCTTTAGTAGATTTGTAGGGACTGAACTGAGCGTTATTTCAAATACCTTGGAGGTAATTTATAACTATGGCATGCCCCGGTCATTTGTTATTCACTGCGATTTTGAATTCGGTGTGGGATCGGTTCAATCAATAATCCTCATATTAAATGACGGTCGAATGCAATTAGAATCGATAAATTATCGTACCGATTTGCGTCGAATGAATTACCATTTTATTTTTCACAAAAGCCCATTAGTACAGTTTTGAGCGCCTACGGGCAGCGCCTAACCCAGACGCTTATCAAAATTAGTTTATCGCTATTGGTTGCATGCCATTAGCAAAATATATCACAAGCGCTACACGTGATCCAATGTCGTCAAAGTGGACTGGACAGTGATAAATCTAAAATGAAAACGCTTTTCTACAGGCGGTATTCTTATATCCTCCAACTGATAAGGGGGCATATTCAAATGACGATGCATGTTTTGGACTTGTTCTGGAACGTCCCTCATCCTCGCCGTTGCGAGTTTTCTAATACATAATAGTTTTGTTTAATGAGAACTCGAAACAGATCGTAACAATTTGCGAGCTCATTTTTTGGCGATCATGGAGCCGATCCGAGCTAGTCCAAGTTGCGGGCAGCTCCGAGTAGGTAGAAACAGTTCAAGAGTTTTAGTCCTATCAAGTTCTACCAGCTCGAACTGACTCGATATGTTGACATATGACAAGGAGGATTTCAGAAAAGATGTGTTGGACCTTCTCTATCACATCACTGCTTCGTAAGATTAGCATAGTGGTAGGGCGCCCGTCTAGCGTACTGGGAGGTGTGGTTTTGATTCCCAGTTGTAGACATTGGTTTTTTCATCATTTTCGCAACATATCTCACAACCCAAAACACATGTTCTTGCCTTCAAGTATCGTATCAAAAAGTAGAAAAGATCGTCTCTACTTCCAAACTGTTATATAAGTGTGTTTTTCGGAAATGAAAAAAATGCAATAGCGCCTCAGTCGGAGACTCATTGAGACAAGCAGCTCAAACCAGCTTTTGAAGTAGGTTGACTGCTAAGTATTTTTGACAAAAAAATGACTAGTATGTGCGAGAAACTTCCAGAGAGAATTTCAGCTATGTCATTGAAAACATTGATTGTTTATTATATAGGGACATTCTGTCTCAGGCTGGTTCGTCTCTTGGCCGGTCACTAATTTTTCAGACCTCCACACCCCTCTAAAATGCTACGTCATTCCCACGCGCACATCAACGCGTGATTACTTCTCACCCCAGCAGGCCTGGGCTCAATCCCAGTCGGCGCCGCCAGGATGTCCTGAGGCATAACATGTCTGATCACGCCTTCCGGGAAGTAAAGCCGTTGGTCCCCGGTTCATGAGTTGATGGGTCGATAGGTAGGGTCCAGGTGTGGGAGCCTGGCGTCGGTAGCATTGGTGCTCAGCGACGGAAAACAAATCAAGGAAAAAAAACAACTCTACAACTTTCCACGTTCGAAAACAATCAACGCAACCATCCTTACCTCCCTCCCCCCTATCCCACCTCCCACTAGATACCTAAACCAATCAAACACAAAGGGGATTCCTCACCTCTATCTCTTATCGCGAACACGCGTTTGACAAGTGAATCTGAATCATAGCTTAACCGCTGGTTTATTGTCAAACAATTTTCCAACACCGAGCTGTCGTCAATGGTCGAAAAACAACGTAAGCCTCCCGTAATTGATTCTGACTTATTCATCATCATCCACCTGTCGCCCACAAGCCCCTAATTTTACGATAAGAAACCACAGCCACCAGAACCCCTCATTGATATCTCAAATTCCTTCAAATTTTGCAGGTATCTGCCTACGCATCAACGGCTTCGCTGCAAGTTTCTGGGATGCCAAGGTCAAAACCGACTCCAGCAACAAAACCCGCAAAACCAACTTCAAAGGACGCGAGGACTACTTTAGCACCATCAACTACTTTGTCGGCTCGGACGTGGGAAACCCACTGGAGGTGGTTGCTGGTACCTACAGCTATCCATTTTCCTGTCAGATCCCATCGAATGCTCCCGCTTCGATGGAAGGTAGATACGGTCACATCCGATACCTGGTAAAGGTATCCTTCGAACGCCCATGGAAGCACGATATCGTCTACGAGCAAGCCATCACCGTCAGGGGAGAATCGAATCTGAACCGTTTCGCCGACACGCTCTCGAAACCAACTAAGGCAGAAGCTATGACTTCGTTCTACTTTGGCCTCACGGAACCACTTATTGTGACCGCCAGTACTCCACGATTCGGCTACGTCCCAGGGGACATCATAGAACTTACCATTCACGTCAACAACCAAAGCAGCGTAGATGTAAAAACAATCGCAATCAAACTTCAAAGAATCGACACCTTCGTCAGCCAGGTGCCAAAGGTCGAACAGTTGCAGGAATTCACGGTACTAGAGGAACGGACGACGGGAAAGGTACCCAAGAGGCAAGAAGCCAACATCGAGGAGAACATCTTGATAGGACCGGGCGTTCCCAGTGACGACAATCACTGTCGGATAATTCAGTCAAAGTACGAAATCGACATAGTGGTACAACCGATCCGATCGCGCAAGAAGCTAGCGATGAAAATACCGATCGTTCTCGGAACGACCGCCATCAACAGCAATGGGCTGCTACCGGATCGATCATTGGAGAAGCAGAAGGAAGCATTGTTGGGATACTGCAGCCCATCTGCTCCGGTTGACATCGGGGATCAGGCTGCACCGCCGTCATACTTGGACCTCCAGACAATGGTTACGAGTACTTCCTGTTCGTATTCCGTTGGATCCGACGCTACCGAGGATGGAGCCACCGCCGAGGAGCTGGACGGAGGGAAAAGGTCAGGACCGTATGAACCGAGGGAATTTTAGCGTTAAACATATAGATGAAATACACTGGTGTTTTAGTATCTGCTGGTCAGAGATAAATATACGTCAGAGGCATTTTAGATACATCGCAAATAACTGATATTTTTCATATAAAATATAAGGATAATTAAATCTAGTTTCGAATTAAAATAAAATTTAAGCTAATTTGTTGATACATTTTAGATTTGTTACGAAAGCCCACCAACGAACTCTTATCATCGAGGATCCTTATCCAGATAATCAAGGTTTATCAAGGCCGGAGGACATATACGTTTAAATTTCAACATACATTAGTAATGCTTTCCCAAACAACATCACAAGTTTTATTGAGGTTTTATTCAAACCAACACAGCAAAAAAATAACATCCATTAACGGATGTCATCATATAACATGTGTGGAACTTCGAACTTGATGATTGACAAAAAAGGAAGTCATTTTACTCTCCTTCCTATGCTATAACTGGAATCACTGCACATCAAAATGTCAAAAATTCATAAACTACTGAACTAAAATCAAATTCATTGAACTGAAAATTTAAAACAGTTTGGTTGTCTAAAGAAAATGTTGCTGAAAGCTGAAATGCACAGAAGACGTTAGAGAACGATTAATATTGCTTTATTATTGATTGAACAACATGATTTGTCGATCAGTTGTGCTAGGAATGTAGAAATGAACCAAATCATTACCTTACTCAAAGACACGCAAGAGGTTTTGCAATACTTCTGAATTAATTTTACTGTAGCTCTTCATTCCTTTTCGGGCAGTAACTTCATGAATCATGAATATTGGATTTTAGAGAGACTGAAAGTAACAAATTATTTTTGCTTGTTGCCTTTGGAAAAAATCATCAAATTCTAACGTAGGGTATATGTCCCTAACCTCGGTCTAATATGAAGCCTTCAATTACGTTTTATGCCATATTCTTATTATTTGGATACTAACTAGGCACGACTGAAAGTTGTAGAACTCACATTTTTAACATGAAAACTTTACAGGTACGTGAATGTAATGTCGGTCTACTCTACTCAAATTGGGTCTATAAATGGATGCAACTTCGTCCTATCGAAGATGAAACTCAGCAGGCTTGGGTTCAATCCCAGTCGGCGCCGCCGGGATGTTCTGAGGCACAACATCTCTGATCACGCCTTCCTTCGGAAGGGAAGTAAAGCCGTTGGTTCCCGGTTCATAAGTTAATGGGTCGATAAATAAGGGAGGGTGTGGGAGCTACATCCCTGGCGTCGGTAGCATTGGTGCTCAGCACGGAAGACAAGATCGACGGAAAATAAAATCAAGGAAAAAAAAGAAGATGAAACTCGATCTACTAAGGTTCGGTATGTGAAATCGCACTTCTTTTTCACTCTTTATCATTCATACCCAACCACATTGTTGACGTCACTTTCACTTCTTGCGTAAAAAATGATAAGGAAGAAAGAGACAGTGCTTTCTTTCCGGTTGATCCAGATAACATAAAAATCACAGTTGAAGATGCTAATTTCAAATAACAGACTGTAGTGGTAATTTTTATACGATAGATGGAGTAGATGAAAGCATAGCGTTGATAGTTCCGTTAGAGTACGGCAGTGTGAAGATTGTATATAGATATTAGAATAGCGAACTAGGACAACTTTTATGGAAGGTACAAATCGGTTCTTTCATCTCCCAATTTCCAAACCTACGACTGGATGCCTTCCTTCAAAATAACAATTGAAGTGCGGTAAAAATCGGTAGAACTGTTTCAAACACACAGTTGGTACTTGAACGGGTCGGTTTTCATCTCTTTTTGCCAGTGGTGGCGGGGGGGGGACACCCCTCACCATCCCTCTCCAAAGGGGGAGTTTGGTAAAGAGAGATGAAAAAACCGATTTGTACCTTCCATAAAAGTTGTCCTAGTTCGCTATTCTAATATCTATATACAATCTTCACACTGCCGTACTCTAACGGAACTATCAACGCTATGCTTTCATCTACTCCATCTATCGTATAAAAATTACCACTACAGTCTGTTATTTGAAATTAGCATCTTCAACTATGTAAATCGTTGACTTCACGTAGAAGTAATACTAAAAACATATAGTCAAAGTATAAAAATCACGATGCTTTGAGAATCAAAATAAAAGCCAAATAGATCATCTCACGACCACACGTATAACGAACTCAGCTGAACATTGCATTAGGTCCCTAAGTAACATTGACAGATTCTCTTCGTCGATTTTCTCTTTGCATCCTCACGGCCATGTTAAAGCATTCCCAGCTATTTTCAGGAGATCGATGAAAAAAAGCTTTTATCTATATTCTTATACGACAAACATGACAAGAAACGGTTCTATACCCCAAGTTATTAACGAAAGAGAAAGTCGATAAAGAGAATCGATCAATGTTACTTAGGACCTAATCCAATATTCAGCTTGAGCTGTCAAGTCTAATGATTGCAAGCTGCATTAGCTCATAAGTAACATTGACAGATTATCTTTGTAGATTTTCTCTTTGCATCCCCATGGTCATGCATATACACTTCCAGCTATTTTCAACACTTAGTTCGATAAAATAAGCTATTATTTAGTATCATATACTATATCATATTAACGAAAGAGAAAGTCGACGAAGAGAATTGATCAATGTTACTTAGGACGTAATGCATTGTTCGACTTGTTAGATTTTTTTTTTAATTTGCACGGCAAATGAATATAACTCATTGTTGGGGCAGGTTCGTGATTTCCGTTAAAAATTTAACCGGCGGGAAAATCAAATGTGCACTGTAACTAGGCTGAGTGGGGGTGTGAGCATCGGCTAACACTTCAGTTGATTCTTGCACTGAACTTTTAGGTTTGCGACTAACCGCCACTAGGAGTCACTTCTTCTTTTGAAAGGAAACACTTTGCAACCTTGGATTCGGATTTATTAGCTTAGCTTAGCTTAGCTTAGTCTGACTGCACGTATCGATAGTTGCACTCCGTGATTGATCTGAACCAGTGAAATTGTACAAAGAATCAACTGAATGGGGCTTGGGAGTAACCTGCCATTCTCAGTGTACATGTTCCAGTGACTCCTACCTTTAAAGATCAATAACGTCACCGGCCACGTCCTTGCAATCAGGTGGGAGAGGGAAGGAATGTTAGTGTGTGACTTTTGTTGTTTTGGGACCGTGTTTACCTCTGCATCCCACAAAAGTCACAGGAAGGAGGTTTTGTTAGTGGGTTAGGTTCGTTGGATCAGGATTCACCTTGATAAGTGATGCGATCTTTTGTTTTGTGTAGTTATTTATAAGTGTTTTCGATTTATGCTCTAAACAGCCGGCTGTCTAGAGATGTAGATCATTATTAGATGTGTGTATACCGATTTAAACCAACAATAAGGATACTGTTAGGGCCACTCACAAAGTGTGATGATGGTTTATTTTATTTTATCAATGACCAAAATAATTAATTATAAGCGGTTTGAACCGATTTAAACCAACAGCAAGGATGCTGTTGGGGCCACTCACAAAGTGTGATGGTGGTTTACTTGATTGAATATAAAATAATTATTAGAACCGATTTGACCCGATTTAGACCAACAGCAAGGATACTGTTGGGGCCACTCACAAAGTGTGATGGTGGTTTATTTAGTTCGGAAGAAAATGAATATGTATACTTCTTTTTTTATATATAATAGAACGAATTTGTACTGATTCAAACCAAAAGCAAGGGTTCTATTGGGGCAACTAACGAAGTGCGATGGTGGTTTATACTATAAGGGCATAAAACAAAATCAAGAGCCATTTCGGTTTCCATAGCTTCCTAGACACTCGGCCGCAAAATAATCTTATCCGACGGAAACGTCTCGATCATCGCGCGATTTACCGTATTGATTCAAATTCCGAACAGTGCGTTAAAATCATCCTTTGAAAAAAACCATTTTTTACCTAAAATATTGCTGATCCGCTCAGAATGTATTTAAACTCACGACTTATCGTAATATGGACATCCTAAAAGAAAATTTTTCAAAATCCGTCCCATACAAAAACACAAGTGCTCAGAATTTGAGCGTGTTCGTAATATGAATCAGAACGGTTACAAACTGTAAAAATACCATTATACAATACATACTGGTATCACGTATGCCCCATTCACATTCACTCATGCATTTTGCAACCTTGGATTCGGATTTATTAGGTTTTAACTTGGGATACACTTTAGGTCTGGTTTTTTGGATAGCTCAATTTGGAATATTTTATTACTAATAATTCAATTAACTCTAAACCTAATTTGCTACTACTACTAACGTATTTAATTTTTATTCTACTTATTTCCAGTACTACTACATTTGTATAGCACTCATTTGTAGCACCAGAATGATGGGTTCGGTGCGAATCTATAAAATAGATTTGGAAACTGGTTGAGAACAAACACTCATATTTGAATCCCGTTCACTCCAATTCGAAAAAAATGTAGGCCACTCATAGAATGAGTAAATTTCCAAGTATGAGTGACATTTAATCATATTTGCAGAGTTGATAATAGAAGAGTTATGCAGAGTGAAGCTTGCAACACTGATGTCGATCAATGGACATTTTTTTTGGCAACCTTTGTTTTTGTTTACACCTCGGATGACTTCATCTGGGTTGTGAAAGTTTCACCTAGTTTCGATAACAATACTTCCCACGCAACAGAGCCAGTTTGTCTACTATGCTCGATAGGTAGACGGTTTGACAGTTCGATAGGTAGATTTTGGTTTAAGTCTGCGTAACTCTTCTGTTATCAACTCTCAATTTTTTGATTAAAAAAATTCATTTGCCGTGAAGTTTGTTTTGACGGCAGGATTGATTGCACGGCCGATTTGACAGCCCAAATTTGAGTAGGAACTACTCATATCCTTAAAAAGTTGGGCTACCCTAAATTGAGTTAACAAAGTTGGAACTGACAAGATGATACCGTTCGGATTCAGGTCGATGTTGTCCATTTATCTCTTGTCAGTCCCAATTTTGTTTACTCAATTTTGGGTAGCTCTATTTTTGACGGGTATG